CTAAAACAGTTTAAATAGGCCAGAATTTGACTCTGTTCCCTGCACAGAGGCTCACATGAAACAATAGATTTCCAACAGGTGCATAGTAGATTTATTGGGGATAAGATTCCAATTTCTGAATAAAATGAATGTTTACCATTTTCATTGCAATTGTTCTTCAGTATCATTTATTACCATGAGAGGAAAAACATATATTAGGAAGCTGGTGGAAAAATACTGTGACATGACTTTTATGCATGTTTTGCAATACTATTTATTTTATGAAATTTCTTATGTGCTTTCTGTGGAGGTACCACTGCAAGACTATAGCAGAGGCCAAGATCCTGAAATCTGGATCCCAGTCCTATCTTTGTTATAAGGCTTGGACTCACTGCACCCGGTGACAGAGGACTGCAGGAATTTTGCCAAGCTGGGAGCACAGACCCTTTGGCTGTTTAGTGCACTTCCAAAAGTAATTCAGATCTCAGATGAATCCACAGGTACTCTGTCTGAAAAGGTCATCCTGGCTCTCAGTCATTCCATTTAAGTACCTAGAATTAAGTAAGATGAATCTTGGTGAGAATGAGTCATCGTGTGATTTAGAATCTAATTAGCATTATTGGCCACTGGAACAAAATATATCTGAGTATAGTAGAATCAGTCACATAAATAGCCAGTATTTCATCCAAGAAGCCTGGATATAGTGTTCAGTATTGTCTTGTAATACTTACATTGATGTTCTTTTTGACTGCCATTATACAGTAGGTGATTATAATGATACTTTTGCCCTAAGAAGTAGATCCTCATAGCTTTAATATTTGCTCCTGCTTTGGGATTTCAGATGCCCACTTGAAAACTCTGTAATACTTCAGGATTTTCTCTAGAAGAGCTGACAGAAGTCATATTTGTTCAGGGTCTTAGTTCCATTTGTCTAGCATTAGATAACGTGCTGCAGTTACCAGTACTTTAATTTTACAGAGCTGATGAGCATCCACAGCTCCTCGTAAAGTCAGCAGAACATGTAACTGTGCACTTTTGATAACTGGGTCCTGGCCCAATGCGTTTCATTGTGAGACGTTCAAAAGCGAAAGTACATAAAATTAGTAGCTGGTTTGCAACTTTGATCTCTTCCTCGTGTAAAACTCATGCTCTTCTAAGGGAATAAACTGAGGATATAGACTTCTGAAAAGAGAATTCTGAGCTCTGCTGCACTCCATTTATTTTCCTATTACTCTTCGAATATTGTTTATTTGACATGTTGTATATCTCCTTGTCTCCCCCTCCTTTTTATTTTAATTGGGACCTGGTTATTGGCTGGAAATTCCACTAGCGTGACTCATCCCTGCGCTGGAAATGACTGTGAACAGGCATCACATTGTGGAATTTACTTACCCCCACCCCCCTTTTTTTTTTCTAAGTGCTTTAGCATGGCATGAGCTTGTAATAATAAACTAGGAAGGAAGTTGGAGGTAATCATTTGGTTCTGAATGCACAAGCCCTGCCAAATTTCCCCACAGGCATGAAACAGCCGCTCAAGCTGTGACACCAGCAAATTAAATCCTGGAGGTAGCTGACCAGAAGTAATGAAATGTGTATTTACCATACTGATGCTGTCAGTCCTAAGACACACTGGCTTTACAATCTAGTTAAGTGGGGCATGTTTGTCACTTCCAGCAGTACTTAGAAAAAATACTCAGGTTCGCCCCTAGCCTTCTTCCCAAAATCACAAGACCGGTCCTGGCCGGTAACCCTCACCTCATACAACATGAAGAACAGGATGTCCAGAATGTTCTGTTCTTTTAAAACACTGCCAAAGTGAAATCTGTATCCCAAAGGAGATAAGTGATTTCATCTTATGACATGTTAATTGCCAAGCCTTTTTATTCATCCCTTATCTGCCACCTCATTCTATAAACCAAACCTTAGAGCTGAAATGAAAGGATAAAAATTATTTCAGGAGCCACTGGATAATAAACAACAGATGCTTCCCACAAACCATGTGTCCCATGCATGCAGCAGTTTAAAAGCCTGGGCACACACAGGTGTGTGCAAGAGGGCCACATAATCACTGAAAAGAAGAGGTACCACTTAAGGGAGGGATGCATTATGCAGGTAGGTGCAGGAGTGAGATGGATGAGCCACACCGCTACTGAAGAGATGTCACTCAAAAAATGCCTGTGTGTCATGGCAGCAGTGGTTCAAAAGCATCTGGACACAGGCACACGAAGAAGGGAGGCTATCGTTTCACAATCCCCACATGCTTAGGAGATAAAGGACTCAGAAAAAGTTATTTTCCCCAGTCAGGTGTTGTCATAGGGAGCAACAGCATCTCATTCTGTGACTTTTCTATGTATTTAGCTAGCAGAGGCATGTCATGCTAATTGTGTGAAACTATTGAAGAAGGTTAGTGGATCATTTGCTGAATGGTACTTGCAGTGAATTTAAGAAAACATTGCGAGGGGAAAAATAAAAGTATGGTCTTCAACATGGTTAATACAATACCCATGGAAGAATCAAAGAATAAAATCACAGCCCATATGAGCAGTCTGAAAGCATCTAATTATATCCTAGGAATGTCTATAACTCTGCAATTATATGCTTAATTTCCAGCTGTACTTGATTAACATCACAAATGATTTTTAATACCACCAAACACAAGGAACTTGCTTTGAACTGTTTGTTGGCACGTATAAATTTGTTGGGCTCTTTTGTCCGTCTCTTCATAGCAAGGTAGGCACGTTGAATTAGTACCATGCAGTTCAGCCACAAAGGCAAGGGAAGGCCAGAGTAATTTTAGAGATAACGTCATTCGCTTTCCTTTAGTGAAACATTCAAACGCAAGTCAATGGAAGGTCAGAACCCATTGACTTCTATGGGATTATACATGCACTTCAAGCTTAATATGTAGAAATAAACTTGCTGAATCAGGTCTGTCTGTCCTTGCTTGGCCTTGGAAGACAACCATGCTTTCTGTGATACAATAGTGCACATGCTTCTGGAAAGCCAGCCGGTGGGTGCCTTCCTTCTCCTGTCTTCCCATGTCAAGAGAGCTGAAGTAGCAATCATTCCACATTTTCTTAGTGCGAGGGGAGGAAGAAGGATAAGAGAATGTCTACTAGTTTTTGACCAGATCTAAACATAATCCTCGGTAAAAGGTTTGAATCTGTGTGGATCCAAATGTGGATCCAAATGCTGGATCAGGATTTAAAGCAAAATACAAACACTTGAAATGTGGTATTTTGATCTACTCAAGGGTAAGCCTGTTGAATTCAGCTGAGGCTAAGGAAAACACATGGAAGCTTTTGCATAATTGTAGTCTTACATTGTAAATCTTTTGGAGCAATCACTCTGCCATCTGTGAAAAATCACCCAGAATTCCACACCAAACTATTCATCCATTGATAACATTGGTTTATATAATTTCAGCAACTTAAAAGTCATTTTCTAAAAGACTAATCAAAGCAAACCTCAAATCAGCAGCTGAAGTTACATTGCCTCTATTTTTAACCTCAGGCTTGAAGCTGTCTAGACTGGTTATCTTATTTGGGCTGGATTTATACACCTGTTACCTTGTTCTCATGTTGGGTCAGATGAGTGGGTTTGCTTAGGTCCTTTCTTCTCAAGCCTATAGTTTTGCCTATAGGGTGATATGACCTTAGGTACACTGTGAAATCTCAAAAACCCAATGATAAGAGCCAATTAATGATGAGATAATATATGTAAAGGCAAACTACTGTTGTTTAAAATCTTACCATCCTAGAACCAATTCTTGGTTCTTGGGGGTTTTTTTGTTGTTTTTGATTACCAGAAGTTGACACCACCATATGTGTGAATTCCAAATAGGGAGCCTGGCTCCTGCAGCATAAATGCAAAAAAAAAATATTATTATGGAAGAATCCCCACTAAACAAAACTACAGGAAGACAGGAGGTAGCCAAGCTGATAGAATTACTCTCTGAAGGAGGCATCTAGCCCTTTGGTACAGGAACAACTTGACTGAATAAGTAGTGAATGAATAAACTAGCCATGGTTGCCCATCCTGCCCTCCAAATAGCACTCTCGGCCTGTGAAATATGAAGGAGATAAAGATACCATGGAGTTGGGAATTGAAAATATCAGATGATGTAGTTTTCACTGGGGGTAAAAAAACTCTAAGCAGGAACATGGCCTAATAAACAAAAAGGCAACTCTTGATTAAAGCTTGAACTTTTCCTTCTCATTAATTACCATGAATCTGTTTTGAAATTCCTGTAGAGAACAAGTGCTTCTTGCTGACAGCTGGTTTGCAATTAATAAAAAGGAAAGTGTTTTCAGCTGGCAATGACTTAACATGCTCATGATATATGAAAACAAGGTTAAATTGCTTCTTTCTCTCTACTACTAATAAAAGAAATATTGAAAATGAAATGGTGTAGCTTAGGAAATGAAAAGTGCCAACCAAAGCCATGGACCTAGTGCTGAGAGCTGCTTATCACCTGGTACTTGCTGGAGTGGACATATTTGGAAAAGCTTAGTCAGTGCCAAAAATTATTCTTCGGTTGCAGGCTTTCAGAATATATTGCATTGAAGAATATATGATCCTGTTTCTGCAAGATAAAGGAGTCTTGATTTCATAATCTCTTTTTTGGGATTTAAATGACTTACACTTTGTGGCTTTTATTGGGAATCTTCTTGCCCCTGATACCCTTTTTAATCTCATCCTCCTTCTGCTCTACTCCTCCTTCTGTCAGGAAAGAAAGGCGGAGGCTTTGTTCTTCGGGATGTAAGGGATGGAGTAGCCAGAGCATCAGAAAGAGCATGGCAGGAACTAGCCTCCGCTGCAGAGAGACTGGCCTGATAATCAGATACCTGTGGTCTTTGGCTGACTGTGAATTGTATTCTGGAAAAATTGCTAGGGTTTGATGTTAACTGTCTTGCAGAATATGAAATGTAACTTTATCACAAATATAACATGAGTATCCTATGAATACCAAGGGAAATGGGTAAAAGTGAAATAATAGATTTTACTTCAGCAAGGTCTTTATTCTTGTCTTGTAGAATGCAGAACCTTTCCAGGTTACTGTCCGAGAAGACAATTGTATCATTGTCTCCCTGGAAGCATCTGATGTGGTGAGCTCATCCTCTGTATATGTTGTGAAGATAGCTGGAGAATCCAAGAACTACTTTTTCCAGTTTGAAGAATTCAATAGCACTTTACCTGCCCCCGTGGTTTTTAATGCCAAATACCATGGCCTATATTACATAGTAACTCTGTTGGTAGTGAACTCAAATATGGTTTCCAAGTCAGCAAGATCAATCACTGTGTTAACCAGTAAGTAACGCCTTATTCTTTTTTTCTTCTGTTTCTTCTCTTTGTGTGTGTGGGTTTTTTTTCCCTAGAAGTTCTTCTTGTGGAGAAGGTGGGGTGGGGTGGGGTTTTTTTGGTTTTGATAGGTCCTCCTTGTGTGTAGGATGAATCCCTGTGTGAGAACAGAAGGGAATATGTGTTGAAAAGGCTTGTGAGTGAAAATTCACAAGGTCTGGGCAAGAAGAAAGGGACAGCTCTGGGCTTCCCCTGGGCGAGCCTTCCTGAACGCTGACTGGAGAGGTTTAACATACTGAAATAGGTAATGGATGAACCTCCTTTCCAGATGTTCATCCTAAACCTTTGAACCAGGAGTTCCAAAAATCTAGTAAAAGGAATAAAAAGTGTTGACTGACATTTCAGTGTAAACGCTCCTGTTACGTGCTGAGATATATTCTGTTTTAAATGCTATAACAATGTTCTTTGATTGCTAATATGTTGAAGCAGTACTAAGCCTGGAAAGCAGATAGTAGTCACAATGTGTTTCTGCCAGTACAGCTGAAGGTATTTGTAATGGAGACCATATTTGTAGTAGTCTGTTTCTTACTACCTCCAGGTGCATTGATCCTGGGGGAGAGGTGCGATTTTGTTTGCTCTGTCATTATGCGAAGCACCACAGATTTCTTTGTGATTCCTGCCATATTTCTGGCTCTGCTGTTGCTCCAGAACTGGTTTTGTGTGCCAACCTGAGAGCAATTTGTAGACTATAAAATGATTTCTTCATCTGGAAGACAGATTCAAGAAAAGACAGACCAAAAAATTATTTGGATGGGGCAAAACCAATTTTCAGATTTTTTTTTTTTTTTTTTTTCCTAAATGGCACCTTAGAACATATGGACAGTTTTAGCTGGTTTGCAGATGAGGAATAGTTATGATTTTGTGTACTTATATTGTTCTGTCAATGAGGAATGCCATCCACTGTAGTAACATTCAAAGCGTATTACAGTAGCCTCATATGTTACTGAGTGAGGTGCTTGAAACTCAGGAGTAAACAGATTTTGCATCATCTATACATTGTTTAGCCTTTCTCTGTGTGCTGAAGTTGTGCCCTGATGAGGATAACCACGAAGGGTCCCATGGGAAAAATATAATGAGGTTGGGTAATGCAAGTCTTTCATAAGGCATATATGCAAGAACATCTCTGTGTAGCAGACAATTTAAGGCTTCATAAGCAGCCTGAATTTCCTTTTCTTTGACTGCTTTAACCTTGCAGACAAAGTAATAATTCTAATCTAATTTCCTGTTTTATGATTTATTTGTTTTCTTAAAAGAAAATCACGGAAGCCTCACTATGCATTTACAATGGGTTTTGAATGCTGCGCTTGCAGTCGTGCAGCAGAGCTCATTACTGTTTGATTTCCAGAGCCCACAAGGGTCACTGGCAGCAGGGGAATGTGTGATCCAGGATGCCAGATGGAGTGCAGGAATCTCTGAAGGAAGAAGGCAACCAGTGTCACTCAGGCCATCAAAGCCAGCCCCAGACTTCCCATTTCTGGCGCAGGGGTTTTCCACAAGGTGTTCCCAAAAGAGCATGAGGCTGATGGCTCCAAAGGGCATAGCCCACGTCGCTCTCGCTCCTTCAAGGCTTGATGGTGTCCTTTCCAACAGAAAGGAGCCCATCCCTTTCACCACCTGTCTGATGCGGGTGTGCTGGCAGCATCTCGGGGTTTCCTGCTGTGGCATCTGCTGCTCACCCAGACCTTGGAAGGACCCGTGATTTTGGCAGTTGGCCAGCACTGCTTGAGGAACTCATATAACAAGAAGGGAACAGCAAATTTCACTGGTTGTATCTCAACAGAAAGACAACCTGGTTCATGGAAAAGACAGGGCATTTTTGTAGGCAGCGTTGAAGGATGCTGTCCTGAGCACTAAAAGTATGCTGTAAATTGTGAGCTTTGCAAGGGAACAGGCCCAGTCTTCTTCCTGGTATTTTCTGTTAGGCAGACTGATGAGTGCTAGCTCTCATGTAGCAGCCTCAGCTACTAACGTAACTCATCTTTTCGAGCACAAGGCTACAGTAATGAAAGTAAATTTGGAATGAAAAGGCAGTGTAGCAGGCTGGGCCTTTTAAGATATATTTCAGTACAGTGCTTTTGGGAAGAGATCTTAAAACTAATATAGTGACCATTGGCTTCTCCTGCAAAACTGCGTTAGATGATAATTAGTTTTCATTTTCTGTTTTTGATTTTTCCTTTTATTGGTATTGTCTACTGCCTGTTTTACATCATTTTCTGACTATTAATTAACTTGATTTTTTTGGCAGACAATAATTAGGATAGATTCATATTTTTCTTCATGCCATATGCTCTTTCTGCCTGTTTAACATCCTTAGTTTATTTTAACCTGCAAAGACATATAACTGTCTAATTTATTCCATCTATATCTTACACATGAAAAAATGGCACGTTGCAACTAGCTTCCAGGACCAAATTAATTCCTGCTCTAATTTCATTGGTATCAGGAGAGCTTTCCCAATTGCAGATTGGCCCCATTCATTAGGCTGCCACAGGATAAATCAAGCAGGATAGCCAGTGATGCCAATGTGGTTATTCCCAAGGCTGTATTTCGATATTTCACACTGGTTTTCTAGGATCTCCTGATGTCTGCAAAGCAGTCGGTGCAGGGAATTGTAGTCTTTCAGCTTGGCCACATGCTGGAGATCTGAGTTTCACACAGAGCAGTGTGTATCCAAATTGTGCATGTCAAAACGAGAGCAAGGTCCTTCAAAGAGATTGCCTACTTAGAAATTCAGTGAGAGTTGTGGAAGACCTCTACTTTCTGATGGTATATCTTGATGACATTTCCTTTTTCCTGTTCACATCCCTCAGCAATGTGCTGCTTCTCAGGATATTGGCAAGAAAAAGGTGAATGCCTCTTCACAGGTTGAAACTTCATCCCACCTGAGTCAGAGGAGACTATTGTTTTACCCATCAAAGGTTTCTGTCCAGAAAAAAAAAGATTTCTCAAGAGAAAGACTATTTAAAAGCTAACAAAATACATATTTTATACGTTATATATATATATGCAAATATAATTATATACATGCAAATATTGATACATATAAATATATGTGTGCATAATATGTACATATAAAAATATAAAATATCTTAACGTTATATAAATATATGCATATGCATCTATGTATGCTATCATTTGAGGCTTCTGTTGTTAATTTGGGCCTTCTCTGCAGGACTGAACAGTTTATTTTCTGCTTGTCTCTGACTGGAATAATTTCAGGGCTTTCTCATGTTAATCAAAACACCACAAACTATAAAGCTTCCTTGTTTAGGTTCTGTAGTCTAGATTGTTGTAATGCAATGTATGAGCTATTTGTTGCAATATTTCTTCTCAGAGCCCAAGGGTTTTGTCAGCTTGGGCAGAGCCCCCATCCTTGCATTGCTTCCTGAGCTGGGACATTAGAAGGGTGAGATGAGCAGGGTGTGTTCACCTCTTAGATAGGAAACCTGTAAAGTAGAATTTGAGCACAAAATAACACTTTTTTGTCTGATTCTGTAACAAAGCTGTGTTCAGCAAATTGGGCTCAGTACTTCACTGAAGGAGAAAAATTGAAACCCTGACCACTTATTATTAAAGATCCCTGTGATCTTTTTCATGAGAATAGGTGTGTGAATCTCGCCGTCCTGGCCAGATTCCTGTTTGTGCAGTTGTGTTGTGCCTATCAAAATGGCCTTCCTTCCAGTTTTCAGTCTGGACAAGGTTAGAAGTAGTGCTGGTATTGAACACAATTATTTCAAGCCTGCTTTCTTCTACTCTTGCTAGTTTTAGCTTTTCAACGGGAGTGAAGTAACTCCAGAATTTATATAACTAATTTAGGGTTTTGCAATATTTGAAAGAAAGTTCCACCTTATTACTAATTGGTTTCAAAGTAGTTTATGAGAGAAATAAAGAGCATGGATGTAAAATCAGTGACTGAAATTCTTACTCATGCTCCATTTTCCCAGCTTGAAGCCTTGTTTTATTCTTCCCAGGGTGACTCATACCCATATAACCTTCTTTTTTTCATATTCACTGTCAATTTTTGTTGTGAAGGAAAAAATGTTTGTACATTTGAAGGAATGGGGAAAGCAGTACATTGCAAACTTATTGTGTGCTGGAAGAAAAATGTATCTCTGCTGAGAACTGGAGAAATCAGGATCTCAGGATCTCTGAGGGTAATTAAGAACAGCTTTGCCTGACTTTTATTTTAGCTTGTGATTAGGAGTTTTGAGTGGTAAATGTCTCATTGTTTCAAAAGCTGATGATTCGTTACATAAATCACTGTAAAATATATTCCCTTTAGAGAGAATTCTGCCTCTGTGTCTTCTACCAAAAATATTCTCCTCAAGAGACCAGCAGGCCTGCTGCCTGGGACTCTGATCTCTTCAGCTCTCAGAAAGTAATTGGCATTAGACCTAGTTAATGCTCAGTTGTCATTGTGCCAGATGCTGCAGGAAGTGATTCAGCAGGTCAAATCCTTTCCTCTGGCTTGTTAATGGATCAGAGCTGTTGAAATAGGAGCTTCAGAGGTTTTTTTCCAATGAAACGTAGGCCCTTCGTGCTTTTCTTTCTTAAAGGATGACATGGCACATCTTTAAAAAGGCTGGTTATCTGTGGCAGCCCTAATTTTGAAATGTAACTCAGAGGAACATCTAGGTCCACTAATGCTCAGCTTTCCCCAGCAAACAAATCACGTTATCCCCTTTTTAAGGTGAAAAAAACCTTCTCCATCAGAATCAAAGAAATGAAAAGATCTGCGACCATATGAGTATTTTTTCCTGCCATAATTTCCATTGGAAGGCTGATTTAAAGTATTGGCCTAAATCTGTTCAAGAGCAACAGATACACCTTTGTTCTTGTGACAGCATTATTTTTTAGTTGTATTGTCTTTTTGTTTGTCATCTTATGTGGGCATCTAGAAATTGCAATATATACTATTGTTGCTCAGATACTACTTTCACTTACATTCCCCTTTCATAAGCAAGTGCACATGGTATCCTCTATTATATATCATAAAGTTGAACGTTATGTTCCTAAAGTATTAAACAACAGCTGTTTAATCTCAAAAATGGTTGCTTTTTAGCAAGAGATAAAATGATCCCTGAAGTTTATAGCGTAATGGAAGCTTTACCCTGGCTATGACTTACTCCCAGTAACTATACAGATAGGGAAATAACGTCATCCTGGGGAGAAAGTGATGTACTTTGCAACTTTTCCATGTGAATAAAGGGGATTACCAACCGGAGTTAGGTCACGCCACTAATGGGGCTTCTTTTTTATAAAAGTCACAATGTGAAGGTAAATCATGATTAATTTGGGTTTGAGTGTGAGAAGGAAGAGAGTTGCATTCAACCACCCACATGTAATACTACCTCTTACCTACCACAATAATCAGCCATTAACTGAACATGTAGAGTGACTCGATCTACGAATGTTAACACCAAATTAATTTGGACTGGAATATGGTACTTATTTTCAATGTACTTTTGGGGTTTTTTTCCTGAATGGTAAACATTAATGTGTCTGGCGTTGGTTGAATGCATTAATGGAGGATTTAGCATCCAGAATTTTCCAGGGCATTTGAGGAAGTGGTTAGCAGCATTTATTATGCTACCTTGATGTTTGTATAATGCAAGCTATGTGCTAAATGCAAAATGCTGTAGAGTCCAGGAGAAACACAGAAGTTAAGTTTCTCATAAACAGATATAATGGGAAAGCAGTTGCTATAGGAGCAGCAAATTCTGAGACACTAAGAAAAAAGGCAAATTTAGGTCTTGATCCTGCAAGCTTGTCTATGTGCGTTTAATATAATCTGCAGGCCTAAAAATAGATTGTGCTTGAAGAAGTGCCTTAAACGTGCTATTAGAGGGACACTGAAATCCTCTAAGTCCCTTCTGTAATATAACTTCAGACGCCAGTGTAGTGCAGAGCGTTTATAAAGCTCTAAGTTTTCTGAAGTATTATATTACATTTTATTTAGGCTATTTCTTGAGAACCACTGAAATCTGTGACAAGCTGGATCCTAAATACTGAAAACTGTAAAATTAAAAAGACTAGAGTGTTTATGCTCTGAATTATAAATATAGATACTGAACAGTGACATTTTACATATTCTTTAATAACCCTTGGAGCAGTTAGTAACTGAAAAACAGAACATGATTTTTATCTGCTGAGTGTCCTTTTAATTTCACAGTGTGCAAATAGCTTTTGATGCGAAGATTTGGTGCCGAAGGAAGTAAGATAATAGAAGAATCTTTAAATTGCATTATATCACTCATGCTACTCTGCTAACATCAGCCATGAGCAAGGAGAGTATAGTAAGCGGAAGATAACAACAAGAAAGAGAGCCTGTAGTGATTACCGCTTAATTCAATTATTGGTTAATTAAATCAAAGCATCAGGAGGAAAAATCATTTGGCTTAAAAATGAATATAAGTTCCATCCTTTATTTGATTTGTTGTAGGAAGGAATAAATGGGGTAATTTAATCACTGACATAAGAAAGTTTCAGTAATTCTTTCAGAAATAAGGAGAACTCAGATGTGAATGAGATAGCAGAAGAAAGCCCAGGGCATACCCGCTAACATGAAAGATGACTGCATGTAAGAGTTGTGCTATTTAGAGATTGTTATTGTCATTTAAACTACTATCGTGTGCTGTATGAGCTGTGATATGAACCCTCTGGTCATGTGGATAGTCAGATCAACTATTTATTTAAGGATAAGCGATGGGAAAAGCCTCAGCAGAAAGGAGAGGGTAGGCTTTGTTTCCCATGATCTGCTTTACTCCTATTTATCTCTAGGCTATCACAAATTGTCAGCAAAATTTTCACAGATCCCACCACTGAAATGCCTGTTGGTATCTCTGAGATTGGGCGTTTCTATTTGTAAGTGATTAACATACAAATATACTGATATTTACCTGAAGCTAATGAAGTGTCTCTGCCATGAGAAATAGTTTAATAATCCCACAACATTGCATTCCCATGCTCTGACAAACTTAAAAATGACAACACGACTTCTTAAGACTCTGGGAGAGATTCTGTTTGCATCTGTGGCTTTTGTTCTTAGTTGTTTTTTCTTCTCCACTTCTCATCACATCTGGAAACTTAGTACTGTGGTGAAAATACTGTGCTATTAATTGGGATTTAATTTTCCCTTCCACTACAGTCTTGCTTTTCCATCTTTGATTAACCTATTCCACCTTCCGTGGGATAATTCCACTTTTGAAACTGATACTGCTCTTCCCTTTCATCTACTCTTTCTCTTGCTTGTTGTGACTTTGTGCTCTTCGGGGAAAAATATTTTACTAGTTTTTCTCCAGGGTCTACCACAGCAGAACTTTGAACTCAAATGTGTCCTCTAAGGCCATGCTAATGAACAGCCTGAATTTTTCAATCTGTTCCCTGCAGTGTGCAGGATCTAAATCAACACAATAATACTCATAAGGATGTAGGCATAATTACTGATGGTGTTGTGCATTAACCACCTCTATTAAAATATGTTAGCATGACAAATTTCAGCTAACACTATAACCTTGTTTTGAATATCTGCTTGGCTTTCTTAACTAATGTATGGTTGGGTGGTTATAATTTTTTTGTTCCTGAGGAGAGCATCAAGCAAAAGGCTAATTTTTTTTTATTTTATTTTATTTTTTGTGGATTAAGCAGGCTGAATAAAACTGTGGCTCTCTTATTAGCAACAATCCAGACTCCCAGCTACAGTGAGTTGACACAGCTTTCCTTAGTCAATGGAACTATACTGGTCTAGATGCCACATCACAGGACACGGTATTTTTCTTGTTATAGCCCACCTGGCTCAGAGTTCAGAGCACTAGATCAGCAGTTCCGTGCTTACCTCCTTCCTGTGCACAGGCTTCCCCTGTGCCCTCAAGTAAACTACTTTTCTCTCAGTTCTTCATCTGTGAAATAATGGTAATGGTACTGCTATATTTTGTAGAAGTTTGGTATGGATAAATATGTTGAAGATGGTGGCCGTCTCAGATGTGGTAGGAATGGGCACTTACCCATGAAATAAATGAATGAATGCATATCAAAATAGAAAATCTTCATTCAGGTAGCTTCCTTTGGCCGTTACACTGATAAGCTTCTCAGCTAATCTTAAAAGTTCAGATTTATGCCAAACTTAGGAGCAATTTCAAGTGTTTTGTTGTTTTTGTCTGGGCACTTTTACATGATTGGCAAGCATTAAAGATGACAATCTTTCTGGGGTGATGACTGTGAATGCTTAAATAATAACTGCTATTTCAACATTTTTTTTTATGGCAAATAAGGAACTTTTTCTGTTAAAGTGTAAGTATCAAGAACATAAATTGTGGGGGAACAAACAAACCTTGTCTTTGACAATGTCCCAAGTAGCTTTGCCCCAGACCTCTGTGAAGCCCCAGATATCACCTGGTAGATTTAAGAGTGCCTGTGCCATGCCTAGCAAAACCATTTTTCTTTGGTGTTGTATATGTGTCAAGAACTCAGTTTGCCTACTAATCTGCTCCTTTCTTCCTTTTTTCCTTTTATTTGTATATGCTTTAGAACCCCTTCCTGTGAGCAGTGTTTCTATCTATGATTACAAACCATCTCCAGAAACAGGAGTGTTGTTTGAAATTCAGTACCCAGAGAAGTACAATGTTTTTACCAGGGTAAATATAAGCTACTGGGAAGGAAAAGACTACCGAACAATGCTGTACAAAGGTAGGAGGAAACTATTCCACTAAAACTTAATGCTACCTCTGCTGGAAACATTTTAAACAGTGGTCTTAGGTGTGATTTTGGCATGTATTGGTTACAATGATTTATATTTCTGGTAATGTGTCTGTTCATATAATAACTTTTATATCATGAAGTAGTAAGGGATGGGCCTTTGAATTGAGCTAGTGGTTCACTTTGGATTGAAGCCTGCTTCCCACTCTATTTCTAGTGATATTTCCTTTCTTGTGGATTTTTGAGCAAGACTGGGCGGTCTGGATTTTTTTAATCGGTTCTGAAATCAACCTGGGAAGGGATTCCCAATTTCTGGTGCTTCCAAGTAAGCATGTACACTAAAATCCAAAAAACTTTCCACCATTTTTTTTGTCTTCCCTGCTGCTGTACAATGCAAAACAAAAGGAAAAAGGAAAGAAACCCAAAACTCAGTAGGAAGGAGAGAGATACGTTTTTCCTTTTTGGATATGCTTCTTGAAATCCCTGGATGACATTTTGTGTCAGTTGAAAGCATTAAAAAAGTTCCCAGTGCCTTCCCTCTGGTGAAGGTTTCCTCTTTGGTGAATAGCTGATAGCAGAGCTCTGGGATGCCCCAGAGTTGGGAAACCCATCCAATATATGTGATTCCTGGTGCAGGATTTAAACCTGGTAGTTCTGTATCACCATACAGTGACACAGTGCTAATAGTACTATGCTGTGTAGTACTATATATTACCATAGCTTTCAGTATTGTCCCTGAGCTAATAAACACTGCTGCATATTACAAATTTCATTTTTCTTAAAATAAACTAATCAAAGGCAATCAATCTGACAATATAGACAGCCAGTCTAAACAATTTAAACAACCAATTTAACCATCTAAACAATTTAACAAGAGCAAATTCTGCTTGCTTTTTTATTTGTTTAAAACTGAACTCCCTTTTGCCCTGCAGTACAGCTTAAGCATAGCATTTATCTCAAAAGATGTAGATGCGACTGCCCTATGGAAAGCATCCTAAGAGGTGAGAAAGGCACCTGCATACTCTGCAGGCCCTGAAACCCCAATGGTTTAACATTACGTAGTGGCAGTAAAAGGCCTTTGAGCAATCTAGTAGGTGCTGGATTGAATTTTAGGCACTGAACTAAGGCTTCCAAAGTAGAAGTCTGGTCACTGTAAGCTCTCTCTTAAGTCAGCAGAGGGAGATACACACCTCCAGAAGGAGGGTCAGAAAATATTGGAGTCTCTTTGCTTCAACACAGAGTGGGGCTAGAAATCACATTTTCAGTGCTGTGAAGTGCCAGAAGTTAAGAAGAGTGATTCTGGATCATAGCACAAAATATAGGTGACCTCTTTCCAGAGAACAAAAGGGATACCAGCAGTAATTTTTGTCTTCTACAGCTAATACATGGTTCCAGGGGCTGTAATGCTGCAGCTGCTGATTAATAAAAAATTCAACCTGAATTAAGAGATTCACTAATCAACTCACATGCTCCTTCCCATAGCCAAATAGCCCTAAGCAACTTCTCTTCAGCCTGCACGTGTACTGATGGTGGACCTGAGCTCAGCTCTCAGTACCGCAGCTTGCACTCGCTTGCATGGTGAATGACTCTTTGAGCGTCTATCCCGAATGTTTTGCCTCAGTCAGCAAAAGACCAAAGAGACTTTTGCATGCAGCAGTTAAAGGTCTGCAGAAACTGTCAGATGCTCTTTGAGACATTCAGTGTCATGTGGAACAGGTTGCCAGATTCAGTTCCCTTTCTTGTGAAAAGTAGTTTGTGTTTTTTGTGCTAGGCTTTTTTTTATAGCAAAGTGGCTTTGACAGCCAGGAAAAATGTTGGCAAACTGAATTATTAGAATTTCATGTCTCAGACCAGGCTGAGCAATGTTTAAACATCTGAAACACTGCCAGTTCAGCATGTGCAGTTGCATTATCAGAAAGTGAACATTTGATGTATTTTCCTCTTTTTTTTCTTTTTTTTTCTTTTTTTTTTCTTTTCTTTTTAAACCTTCTGCAGATTTCTTTAAAGGTAAAACAGTTTTCAATCACTGGCTACCAGGTATATGCTACAGTAACATCACATTTCAGTTGGTATCGGAAGCAACCTTCAACAAAAGCACACTAGTGGAATACAGTGGGGTCCAGCATGAGCCCAAACAGCACAGAACAGGTGAAGAAAATGATTATGTACCATTTGCTCCAAGTCTGTCTGTCTGCTTTCCTTTCTGCCATGGGGAGGTGATTGATCCCACAGAGAGAAGGGTCTGTGTGGGAGCAGTCCTGGCAGCTGCTCCTGGCCAGGAGCATGGGAGGAGGATGCTGCGGCTAGTACATAGGGTTGTGTGTGCAATATAGTGCAAAGGGAAATTTGCATGAGTGTTTCTGTTATAAAGCTTCCTTCTTAGAAAATAAATTCTGCTTCACATGAGATATTTTAGGCCTTGTGCTAGAAATTAATTTTTAAGCCACAGGAACAGCCGCACTGAGCATACTGTTGATCTATCTATATTGGTCTGTCTCCTTGCACAGTGAATCATAGCTAAACTGTTGGAGAAGGTCCTCCTCATCGTGCAGCTTTCTGTCACAGAGAAGAAGAATGTCATAGTCGCCCCACTTGGTGGCCAGTTTATGCCCTGAAGCATGAACTTTTAATTTCCAAGACAGCAGTGTTGCAAAGGCTGAAAATTGCATTTGTTCAGGATCCAGAACTAATTTAATTTGGTCCTGGGATGGTGCCCAAAACTTTCGTGTTAATCTGTTGGACCAGAGACATTTTCCAGGGTCCAAAGTGAAATGAACCAGCGGTAAAATCAAAAGGCCGAATCTTCAGATGAATACACTGATGTTGGTCCCTTGCCTTGGACAGAAAAAGCCAACTGATGCCAGCTGAGTTCTGTCCTGAGGATCCTAAATATAGTTATCGAGATATCGAACCATAAGAATGCAACCAACAGGATCACATTTTTCTTTTCTGCTGCCCTCCCATGCCTCATTCTTTGCATGAACTGCAATGAGATTGTAGAGTCTGGTTTTGTATTAGTGGCTGTGGCTGGGACAGGGGAGGTGAACTAATTAGCGTGTTGTAAGGTGCCAGCTTAAAAGGTGCGAGTGAAAATTGTTCGCAGAGACTGCTTGTACTTACTGTGTGTAAGGGCAGACAGACAAGCAGTTACAGTGACGCAGACAAAATGCTGTGTGTTCACCTCCTGGCATAAGTTGAAGTAACTTCTTTGCGTGCCAGAATTTTGTCTTCTGGAGACACAAATCTTAAGATCAAGCTTTCACAAATATTAAAATTTAAACTGATGTTTAATGCTTGTGAAAAGGTGGCTGCTAAAAGCATTTGAAAAGCCCTACAGCAATGTGAAGGTCATACTTTTTAAATATGAGGTATGCCATATATTAGTTTTGCATATGTTTTTCAATTCATTTCTACAGAAGTATTTTTTTCCATGATCAAGATAATAAATAATAGTAAAATAAATGAAGATCCACTCTTACAAATTCACACTCGAGTAACCTTGCTGCTGTAATAGCACTGAGGTCTGATTTACTGTGACTTCACATCTACTTTTCTTCCTGGTGTTCTTGAGTGGTGATTCTTCTGTGAATTTACACTCGTCTTGATCCCACTAGAATCACTTCTGCCATAAGTGTATGTAGGAGAAGGGAGAATCTTAATAAGAACAAGTTATTTCAGAATATCCCTAGATGCATTGTTTTTCTGCAAACAATATTTCACTGGGGAATTAACACATCGTAAAGGTGCACAGAACATACCTGTTAAAAGACTAACCCTTGCTTCTCTTTTAGTTCCTTACCCACCTCGAAACATTTCTGTTCAGATTGTACCAATCAACAGAAACAACTGGGAAGAGCACAGTGGGAATTTTGCAGAAGAATCATTCATGGGACCACAAGAAATCATAAGGAAAGAAAAACTTAGCCGTTCTTCTGACAACCCACCTGACATTCCAGCAGGGAACACATCTGCAGCCTGGACAGACTACCGCTATAACAGCACTGAGTATGAAACCACGTCGCAGCCGTACTGGTGGTCTAATGAAGCTGAGTCGTCAGAGGGTGAAGAGGAGTTTGTCAATGCAGTTTCCAGTGATTATGAGGCCAATGAAGTCAACGCATCTGGAAAACTCACGCCAGAGCCCCCCTCCTTCCTTCCTGTACAAATGGTGCTGACCTGGTTACCACCAAAGCCACCTACTGCATTTGATGGTTTCCATATCAGTATTGAAAGGGAAGGTAAAACAGAACCTTGTACCCTTTGCATACCCCTTTTCTTTAATTCCATTGGTGGATTATCTCCTCTACAAATTATTAATTACCTAGTACTCTGCTTCAGCGGGGCTTTGTTAGATCTCCTGCATTTCTCGAGAAGTTTCTTGCGTTGAATAGCATCTAATTCTGGCTGGGCTTCATAAAAGTAAGGGATGAGGGGTAAATCACAGTTTGCAATTCTCTTTTGTGAAACAAGATTTATACTGTTCTACATATTGCCGAGCTGTTTGCACTGCAGTTATCGTAAATCCATTCTGCTATTGGAGAAAGGAGAAACAAGCCGATAGAAATTTGAGACGAAGAAGGTACAGTATATCATGTAGCTTTGTCTGCCACTGAGAAAGGTTCTTAGGGGGACCTCATCTGGAAGGGGCATACAGGATGGATGGTCTACATTCAGATTAACAGTTGTCTCAGAGGACAGCTACTGAACGTATTCCTTAGGCCACAAGGAGGCTGTGGTGGAGAATGGTGAGACTTTTCAAGTGATGGAGCTACAATAAAATAGCCATGTTGCTTAAAGATTTTCTGTCTTAAAATCTGTTTTCTCCAAATGAATTTTATTTCCTGACAAGCAGTTTTCATAAGCCTTCCTACACTGAGGGCAAATACTTTTTTTTGCAGAATAAGAAGGCAATGGATAGTAAATTGGAAGCTCCTTTTTGTCCATGCCATGCTGTTTTTCACTTGCACAGTCATGGCAACCCTATTTTATCACCCCTCTTACTAAATGAAAATTTGGCCTGGGTTTATTGTTCCTCTACACTTATACTGCAGCCTTAGTCATTAATTATTCTTGTGCCCATGGCAAGAAATAAAACTACCCACATAAATCCAGTCCTTTTGGATACCTTTTAATCCCACAGCAGAAACAGTATTAGCATTTCTGATATAAATCATTTTCTCAGTGGCTGGAGCCTTGCAAATTTCAATTAATCCACACTTTTTTCCCCCTGATTTAGAGAACTCCACGGAATTTTTGACAGTAAGTGAGGACACTCACAAATTTGTTGCTGAACTGAAAGAACCAGGAAAATATAAGTTGTCTGTAACAACATTTAGCTCCTCTGGCTCTTGTGAAGTTCGGGGAAGTCAATCAGCAAAAACACTTAGCTTTTACATCAGTAAGTATCTCAACAAATCTGCCTTTTTCTCTCAGACTGATACAACTTTAATGTACAGAGTTTGACCACTGTGGCAGCTGTGGCATCTGCTGCAGGATCAGAAGACTCTGGTCTTCTAGAATTCCCTGCGCCAGAGAAGGAAATAGGGTGCAAATATGTTGTATATTATATCCTACCCAGATGGGCCTTCATCGTGCTGTCTTGGCAGAGCTAAGAACTGAAAGCAGGTGAGGTATTTGATGGAGTCATTGCCCAGTGTTCAGAAGTGGATCACTGAAACAGGTTCCCCTTTTGCATCTTTCAAAGAGGGGATTTAATTCCAAGAATTAAATCAGTGGTTATAGAGATTCTTGAAAATATTTAACTTCTTTACTCCTGGAGGCTGTATGTACTGGGTTAGGGATGAAGGGCATCGCAGTCTGAGGGTATGGGAATTGTGCAATTAAACACTGAACTCTGAAATTACATGGTCTCTAAGAGAACATGGGGCAAATTAGAGTAGATGAAATAGTTCAGCCTGCTAAATTCAGAGGAGAAAAAGTAATTTATTATTTCCCTGTAGAATCCCAGGGTTTCTTAACTGAAGATTTAGTAAAAGACAAAGTAATAATACACTACTGTGTAAACTAATACCATGACTGACAATTAGATCAGCAAGTGAGACAGGTGTTGGTGAATTCAAATTATTATCCTTCCAATGACTGTGGTCACCTTTGTACCTTTTTCTACAAAAGGAAATAGATATAGCCTATAAAATGCCCATTAAGAACAGGGGAATACTTCCAGCACTACACAATTTTACATGTGGGAGGATAGTGTCTCCCCTGAATCATGAATGCTGCAACAAGACACGGTAGCTAAGGCTGGCAGAAATATATTAAAAGTAAATGTACTCAAGTACTTAAGTACATTACTAATAAAAATTGTGTCTTTAGTATTTCATAACATTTACAAATACTAACTATTTAGGCTTAAATTCATCATAATGCTTGACTGCGTGTAACTGAATTCCACTATCGCTCCGATGTTTTTAACAACTCTAACACTGAAAGAAACAATACTTGGAAAACAAAGAGAAAAGAGGAAACAGCACATGAGAGAAAGGGTCTCTGCTGTTGTAATTTCACTGTCTTCTGGTTTTCTTTAGGAATAGTTATTTGACAGCTTAATTATATGGAAAGCATTAAAGTATATATAAGTATATATCAACTAAATTATGTAGCATTGCTATTAGTACCAAATGTTATTCCGTTTTACAAGGTGTGACTTATTTCCATTAAGGAATGTGCAATACAGTGTCCTCCATGAAGTCTACTACCTGCGGACAGAGACGTGAGAGAAATGAGAAAATGTTAATCCAAAGTATACATGTATGGATTGCTAGATTAAGGATGAACTTGAATCTCATTGAGTATAAAGTATTAAAATGTTACAGGAAAGTAACAAATATTTTCATTTTACACGTAACACATGAGAACGTTTGTTTTTTTGGGTTTTGTCTGTTAGTTTTCCGGGCTTTTAGAACCAGATGAGGATTCTTGGCCGTTGTCTTATTCTGTCAAACACAAGATCCTCAGTAAATTAGATAGATTTTATATGTATTTCTGGTAGCACGCCAAATCTGAGATGTGCACAAGTACTCTTAAGGTGAAATTGCTTTTCCATTCCTCTTTATGAGTCTGATCAAGTAGGCTTTTTGTGTGGGGACTACAACTTTGTAGTCCGTGACATGAGGTAGCTCAGTTTCCTTAATGCTGATACTGAAACAATTTCTGAATAGTAAAAGCTACAAATACATCCACTGGCTCCAGAGACTAATCTAATAATCGAATTCCTCTTTTTACCTGAGTAGGTGTGGGTCTGCTGTCATGAATAAATTTTGCTCATAGCTTCAGCCTTATCTTATCCTTGTAGCACTCAGTCAGTGAATCATCCTGTCAAATTACTGGCTTGTATTACACAACATTTTTGTTGCACCCAGATAGCAGTATGGGTTGTCAAATCTTACAGGCTGATCTTACACCAAATTCTTGCTCTGGAATTTGTTTTATTTTCTCAATAAACGTAATGTACCATTAGAATTGTGTGGAGGAAGGAATGTCAAGGAGAGAGCTGTCACAAGTGTCACTTAAAAGTGACAAGAAAAGCTGATGATTTTAATGAAATCTTAAATTTTGACCAAGTCTGGCTGAAGTTATTTTCCAAATTGTTATTTTATCTGCATTTAAACCTGTGTTCTCTGCCAAGTGCTTCAAAAAGTCTGATGGAGAATGAAATTCTTCGCTGTGGTAACCTCTGTGAACTCGATTTTCACGCTTCAAGGCTGTAGTACACTTGAAGGGTATGTTAGTATGCGGAGAGGCGAAGAATTTTGTGTGTTTCTCCTTTAATATTTGTCAATGATCTGTACATTATTGGATATCACTGCTTTTAAACATTCCCTTGGAGCTAATCTGAAATTGCTGGGTGGTTTCTGGTAAGCAATAGAGAATACTGCAATCTGAATTTTCGAACAGTGACATTTCTCTTGTCATCTGCTCTGCTACAGGTGAAATAGCACCGGCCACAGGCTGTTTCCCAGGGGCTGCCATCTTTGCTGCCTGAGGGCTGTGGAGGTGGACAGCTGTCAGTCCAGCCTCTTTCACTAGTAGTAAATAATACCATGGAAGAAGGATGTTTTAACATAAGTGCCTCAAATGCGTAGAGTGGCTTGCTCACATGTGCTTTTGGGACATGTCCCAGGCCCCACAGGTGAATGGATAGAAGAGCTCACTGAAAAACCCCAGCACGTAACCGTGACGGTGCTAAGCTCCACTACGGCCCTGACATCCTGGACAGCATCACAAGAGAGCGGTGGCAACAGCACCATCGTGTCTGTGGTCTCCCTGACCTGTCAGAAGCAAAAGGAAAGTCAAAGGCTTGAAAAACACTACTGCACGGAGGTAAGGGGGAAAAGCTGGAGCCTTTTCAAATACAGGAAAAAATTGCTAATCATCCTGCTGTTTGGGATCGTTGTGCTCAAGGGCCCTATCAGGCTCAGGGCTGCAGAGCACAGCAGTAGGTGCTCCCTTCTGCAGTCTTAAGGGACACGGCTGATGCAGAGTGGAGGGGAGAGCACAGCATACAGGAATGACAGCGTGCAGTAAACCAGATTAGTGTTAAAATTGTATTTCTGCTGGACTGACTGTGGCCAATCCTTTGTTCAAGCTTGTGAGTTATGTTGTACCCTTTGAGAATTTTTTGTGGCGGTAGGCAAAATGGTGACATATCATAATAACACTTAGGCGTCTGCAGTAATCCATTTGTATTAAGAAAATTGCTCACATGCATGATTATCATCAAACTAGCATAAATTCTTTCTTAGATTTCTTAGATTTACGTATGAATACAGAACCTGACTCTAAACTTCCAGGAAGTTTAGAGGTGATCAGAAGTCAGCTTTTCTTTTCATCCATACAAAAAGCTTTTCTTTTCATCCATCCCAGCACTAGGCTGGGAAGTAAACAGTAACTCAGACTGCCTGTGATTTGAATAGACAACAGTTCTTTAGGGCTGCCGTATGGGATGTGTTTATAATGTTCAAGAATCCTGAACCCCACAATATGGCAGTTTTCTGTTACTTGAAACCCCTAGTGAGTGCAACCCTACGTCAGATCCTGTGGCTACGATGGATCAGTGGCATGTGGCTTCAATTAGAAAGAGGTTTTAGCCCACATCTCGGTTACCTTACCAAGATGCCAATAAGGCCATTTTCTGAGCAGCACCACAGCTTCTGTCTGGCTCCCTAAATGTGTGTGATGGAGGAGTCTGCAAAGGAATGCAGTGCTGCCATGCTGCACCTTAAGCTCGTCCATGCGAATGGAAGGAGACTGCTAGCACTCCCAGTAACTCTTCATCTCCTTCAACTTTGTGATTAGCCCTGCAAGTTAATTAATACAGGGAGTCTGCATCCTTCAAAAACATCTTTTAAAATGAATCTTTGTCAAAATGTTTTGAGTTTTATTCCAAGATTGTCCATGAACTTAAACATTTGGAAGTGTCTTTAGATCACAATTCAAGAATTGTTTTTCAGAATCAGATTGTAATCTCCTTGAGTTATTTTCCTTTCATTTATGAAAAGCGCAGTCATTACATCAGGAAGCAAAACAATACGGTACGTGATTATAAAACAAAGATAGCAAATATATACATATATGATTAAAGTAAATAATACAAGATTCATCTACAAACTCAAAAACAAGTACCTAAAGCTAATCCATGAATAAACAAGATACCTGTAAAAGTAAATGCATGTTTATTACAAGTAGGTAGAAAGGTCTAAATACAGTTCTTTGTTTCTTTTTGTCATTACAAATATTTGTACCACCTCTCATCAAATTTTATTGGCTTATTATACCTGGAATTATTAATGTCTGTTGGTTTGAATTCTCCTTGACAAGCTGAAAAGGGCAAAATTCAGTGCAGAGTTCTATCCATCTCTACCATTGTACATGATTTAAAAGTGATTTAGCTTTCCAAAGCAGCTGTTAAAGACAAATTCCCTTCCTCACTAAATTTGTGCTGGCACTGGTGTAGTCACGTGCATCGCAATAAAACACCAGTGCAAAGGTGGCCGTGATACAGACTTTGGAAAGGTTGCAAAGAACATGTTAGTAGGAAATATCAGCCTGCAGTTCTAGAAGGGCTGTGTGAAGTCCTTTCCTCAAAGCTCCTCTGTGCATTTGTTGTTAGCTGGCTCTTCAGGAGATAAAACTTTTCATATTGAATCAGACCAGGAATCACCTGGTCAGGCATTCTGCGTCCAGCTCTGACTGATACCTGGTGTGCCACAGAAGAAATTTTAATGGTGATGTTTCAAACTGAAAAGAAAAATCACAAGGTCCTTTAGTCAGGTTTTGTAGTGCTGTGCAGGAGGGATGAAAGAGAGGAATTCCTCTCTGATTTCACCATGCAGTCATTTAACACTTGCATTCAGAAGGCAACTTTCCCATAATGCTGCCTTCAGCTCACATAGCTGCAGATGAATCAGATGGCCGATGAAAAACCTCAGGCTTTTAATTGAAAACAAACCATCTAAATACTCCCCACCTGAATATGAATAATGTAGCCTGAATATTTCAGTAAACTTTGACAGTAGGAGAGAGCAGGTCTGCAGTGTGACAGCTGACCTTACGCAGCAAGGCAAGTGTGATTCTCTGAATCAGATCATTTGTCAAGTCAGTCCTGACCACTTTCACAGTTTTGCCATTTTGGGCTTAATGAATGGAGTTTTAGCTGCTGATGCCAGTGTCTTCAGAATCACGCCTTTTGTAACTGGAATAGTTCATGTAGTCTCAATCTTCTTTTAATTAACCAAGTAAGTACCTCATATCTGATGTATTCCTCTCCTATTAGGTGAATTCAAGCAGCAGCCTCATTGAAAATCTTGTTCCTGGTGCCCAGTACCAGGTTGTGGTTTACTTACGGAAAGGACCGTTGGTGGGACCTCCTTCTGATCCTGTTACATTTTCCATTGGTAACCCCTGCATCTAATGTTTGATGTGTGTTGTGTTTTGTTTTGTTTTTAAATACGTGTAGTGTATTCACTAAGCTCTAAAACCCATGAAGGAGTGCAAAATTGTCATGTTGGTTATTTCAAATGTAATGAACACTTATTGAGAATATTTTTATTGAGGTGGGGAAAATACTTCTTCAGTGGAAGATAGAAATTTCACATTTAAATATGAAGTTATTACCAAACCTAACTAGAGAGCAATTATAGTCAGGATTCACACAGAGAGGGCCCTGTGGAAAGAACCGTCCTCACCTTTGGACGCCTGAATATATGTTTGTCTCTAGCAGTGCTCACGGTCTATGTCATTTAGGGTGGGAGTCACCTCACTTAGGTGTAGCCAGCCGGAGCTGCAGGTGGTCTGTGATGCAGGGAGAGATGTGGGCACTTCCTAGAGGTGAGTCATTCCCACTGACTCATGAAATGTGTGGGACTGCTGTTAAGACATTTGTTGCAAATGGGCTTTATGAAGGATGTAATGTGGCCCAGTTGTCCCAAAAGCGGGCTCGTTCACCCAGTGTGCAGACACCAATTAGCACACAGAGCAGAGGTATCTTATTTCACATCTGTGTGGAGATGGATGCTAGGTGGTAAATCACAAAGCTAGCATACCTTTGCATAAAACTACAGAATATTTATTTTACTACATGATCAGTATAATCCCGCCTAATTTTACACTTATGGGTTAGTGATTAACATTTCGTACACTGTTGGTTTACTATATTAAAATTAGCCTCACTTGCTATGCAAATTAGCATGCATGCTCCTTTCAGGAGTGGGGCGGCAAGTCTTTTCAGTCCTGAATTGAGTTGGTGGTTGCGATCTCCCCTCACCACATTTACCTTTCACACGGTTACTGCATTTTTATCAGACTTGATGTTTTCTGGCCACCATCCAGTCTTTGGTGCCAAGATGTTCCCTTTTATCAGTCCAGTAGCTCTTCTTCAAGGGTATAGCTGTTAGTTTTCCACAGTTCGTTAATTAAACAAATAGTCTTATATCTTTTAGCTCTCTCCCAGATTCCTTTCCCAGAGCACAGGTGGTTCATAGGTTTGCTCAGTAGAAAATTTTCACTTTCTTCAGGATATCACAGTCTGAAGGCCACAGGGCTAAGAGTCAGGAGAGCTGGCTTATCTCCTGTAGTACTACATGACCATCACCAACTTGAGTTGTGTATGCCTTAATTTTCTTGAGTTTAATGGTGGATCTTGATGTTCTCTGCTTTGAGGTTTGAAGATAAGAAGAACCCTCTGAGACTGAGAGTAACATTTTCAAGAATGTGGTTTTATGGCCAACAGGCAGAGCTGCTGCCCCCATGCCTGTAATTCAGGATTCCACTAGGCTCCTAAATAAAGAGTCACTTAGGATAGAATTCAGTATCTTTTAGTTTTGGTATAATTTATTTTGTTAAGTTTACCACTTTAACAAAATGTATTAGGAAGAGAAAGGGCAAAGAGAAAGGGATTCAGTGTATAGAGTTACATTTGCAGAGAAATATTTAGCCTGGGTCACCCAGCTTCTCCTTTTGATAAATAGTCTGCCTTGTGTGAGAGCAGGTGGCAGAAAGCTAGAGATCTTCAGTATTTTTCATTCTGCTTCCTCTGTGATGTAGGGAAGAAAGTGAAACAGAAAAAAACAAAGTTAACCTGTTAAGAATTGAATGGATGCAAATGAAAGCAAATATGTGGACTAGTGAGTGTAGTGAGAGCCTTTTCATTCTAGGCAATCTCCTTGTATATTTTCATAAATAGGGTCTGAATAAAAATTTGAAAAGAGAGTATGGTATGTTTCAGTAAAGGAAAAAATAGTAAGTAAAAATATATATACTTTATTATTAAAATCTCTATCATTCGAGAACTTTTGCAAATGCTTTTGGTTTTCTTTCTCGCTGTAGTTACTTCAGAAATCTGCACAATTCTATTTTCACTTGAGAAAGTAAAATCATATATTGCCAAAGTAAATAAGTTCTTTCATTACCTCCACTTTTGTGTGGCCTCACAACCATAAAAGGTTCTTACTAAACTCAAAATGGCAATCAGTTTCTAAACAAAACATGTCATAGGTTTCTTATTATAAAGGGAGTGTTTTTAATGAGTAAAACAACAGATGTATGAGTTTTCATTTCATAACAGGATATTGAATTTGATATTAAAATAGCAGAACTGCAAAACAAACTGTTCTGTGAAATTATCAGTGGTGGTTAATGACGAATGAAACTGAAATAAGATAAAATACACTTTAAAAAGTATTCCATTCTCCCCATGTTTATCCTAAGCCTCACTTTCACTGGGTGAGTATTAACACTTTAAAGAAAGCAAAGAAAAGATGTGGTAAATGATTTATGAAGGGAAAGGCAATCATGTGCTAACATGGGCTGAAGTAATATGGGTGCTGGTCTAGGCTCTGACCCGGCGTGCAATAGCTGGGGGTCTGCAACCCTTGCCAATGTTGGCAAAGTACTTATTTAAGTAGCCTCAGTTAAGTCAGGAAGAATAATTGCTTTCCAGACAAGTAAGGGTTGTGGAAGTTGACCCTTATGTGACATTTTTCAAATCACTTGACTTCTCCTTCTCAGTGTTATCATCTGTGAGGCAAGAACAGCAATACTTGACAGCAGCTTTAGGTTCCCCAGGGAAGGAGGGATAGACATAAAACCTGTTCTTTCTCATATTCTTCATCTTCCAAAGTGTTATGGCTTTTTATGCTTTTGTTTTTGAGCAACTTGAAATATCTCCTAAACATCCTGATTTTCAAAGTAGAATGGAACTCTCCATTTATGAAATATCAAGCCCTGTACTTTATTTCAAGCTAAGCAGCCAACACCAAGTACTGCCTGTAGTCATTTTTGAAAAAGTAGACATAACAAACAGGAGAACGAATGCTGAAAAATTGGTATGCAACTGCTTGTGACAAGGAAACTCTTGGGAATTAAAGTCAGGAACAAACCAGAAATAGGTAGAACTTGGTTAAGGAAAGGTATTGTTTTAAAATAAAGTGTAACTGATAATACACTCATTACTGACCACAATTTCTGGTTTATAGTGCCCACTGGAATAAAGGATCTGACGCTTTACCCTTTGGGACCTACTGCTGTGGTTTTGAGCTGGAACAGACCTTTCCTTGGGGTGTTCAGGAAATATGTTGTAGAAATGTTTTACTTCAATCCATCAACGATGACCTCTGAGTGGACAACTTATTATGAAATAGCAGCAACCGTCTCCTTAACTGCCTCTGTGGTAAAGTGACCATTACTGACTATTGTTTTCCCATGCCTGTGTGGCCCTGGCACCTTGTGACGTTTCTTTGATCAGCCTTTGCCCCATGAATATGTATGCCTTTAAGCCTGGCACATTTTTCCAGGCAAAGCAGAGAAAATGGCCAGGATGCTAGAGGCATTTTGTGTTCTAAAGTAAGGGAATGCTAGTTGAACCATGCTAAATTTTAAGCAGAGCAATGAGGTAGGAGATGAGTCTCTTTTTTGTTGACAAATGGGCATGTTCAGCAAGTCTAGAGGCAGCTTCAGTTTGTGGGTCAGTTTGTCAGTCAAGGCTTTAAAAATTCCATCACCTCCTCAGGGGCAGTAGTCCAAAGCCTTATCTACACAACTAATATCAATAATATGGATTTGAGGCTTGCGGGCTAGTCTTGCAGTGTGCCATCTGGAAGGCTTAGCTGCAGAGAAGCTCTTGTGAAAATAGCCTTCATGTTTCTGAAGCTACAAAGACTTATGCCAGGATTTCAACTGAGTGGAGACTGGTCTCTAGAAGAACACACATACACATATACGCACATGCATCTTTGCAGCAATAAAGTGAAATTTTCCTCTTCCTTTCCATTATTTCCTAGAGAAGGTGAACAGATTTTATTTAGACTTCACTGTAGCACAAGTCAGCGAGCAATTTTAGCTGAAATTAGTTGTTTAGAAAGTTATGAGTATGCAAAAAGGATAGCAATAACTTTTGCTGCTTGTGAGAGCCACAGTGATTTACCGTAATTGATTTGCATAATACCATTTGTGGAGTCATTTTGGCTGCAGTGGCTTAACTGTAATTGGGTATGTGACTGTAAATCTAGCACATAAATCTCCAGGGAAATTAAAAACAAAAATAACTTACCAAATGAGTAATTAATATCTTCTAATCATGACTCAGCACAATTAGATTAATACCCGAGTGATCCGAGTCATCTTAGAAGTAATGCCGTCTTCCAGAGTTAATGTGGTTCATTAGAAAACGAGATGATATTGTCCCTTACTGTTGCAAATCTTGTTCAAGGAAGCCAAGTTGAAATTCCTTTGTCTGAATTTCAGTCTGAAATGTGACAGTGCGATATTGCAGCTAAAGTGAGCATTTCTTAAAGAATAATTTTAAAGAGTAAGCCTGAATTAGAAAAAGAGTCTCTCCCTGTTCTTCTGTTATGGCATTTAACATACAAGTAGGTATTGATGAACTTTTGTTTGGGTTCTCTAGTGGTGCTGTGGAATCCCACCATGTCCCACTAATTTCCCTATGATCTACTGATATCTCTGAGTGGTGTACTCAGGAGGAACAGTGTCAAGCCCAGTGAGAAGGCAGGGGAATCAAAAATCAAGCTGTCTGACTGCTTAGATCAGAAATTATTTCCGGAAGGGTTATCACTTGATGAGAACCTTTGGAACTGAACTTGCCCTTTCACTTTGTTTAGTTCCTTTGTTCATTTTGTGCTCTGTATCTTATTTTAAAATTGTCAAAGCAATGTTCGTATTTTCAATATTACAACAGGGGCACGTCAGAAGAAGTCCAAACATCTTCAAGGTTTTGGTGTTAATTGGATACAACTTTTTCTAAAAAGCATAAAGAGAATAGTCCGCAAACCCTATATTTGGATTGCCTTGTAGGGTCTGGGAAAAAAGGGCCACTGCAAACAGCAGAGATCTGTAAAAATAGCAATTTCTAATTTGTTGAAAAATTTCATTATTTCCAATTTGCTTTTATTTTGAATTTTTAAAATATCATGAGGCTTTTCATTTAAACATAAAATTAAATATTTGAAATGTTTTGTGCTGTCAATTGAGGTATTTGAATTTTAAGTTAAATATTACATAAAATATTATAATATAAAATATCTTGCATTTTATACTTCATATATATCTCATTTGTATTTATATATGTAATTTATGTTTCATAAGTCATTTATGTTTCATTCCTATTTCATTTATAATAAATGATAATACAAAGTGAAATACACTTTGAAAATTGGAAAAAACAGGTCTTTTGAAGTAACAATATCCAAGTCAAAAACATTGTTTCTAATTTATTCTCAAACTCTATTTAATCGAAATAGAAAACCCTACATTTTCCAGTTAAATATTCTGCCTTCATCAAATCAGAATTTTGTGATGGAAGATCGCTCTGCAGGAATCATTCTCGCTGCCCTGGAAATCAATGAGAGGTTCCCGTAGCGGGTAGGACCTGGGACCATGTGCATGTGGATAAGAGCAGAGCCACCACAACCGTGTTTGCTCTCACTGCCCAGATTTTTGAATGAATTGAAATCCCAAAGTACAGAAGTTTCCACTGGAGTAAGGAGTGGGAGCTCAGTAAAATAGTCCCATATGTGGCCACTGGATTTATAAATATTGTTGTGTTTTATAAGTCACGCCTCATGCTGGTGAATTTTCTCCTGAGCTGCTGTTTGTCTTTTGTCACTTTACAGAGAATAGCTAACCTGCTGCCTGCTTGGTATTACAATTTCCGGGTCACCATGGTGACTTGGGGGGACCCAGAGCTGAGCTGCTGTGACAGCTCCACCATCAGCTTCATAACAGGTAAGCAGCCGCCTGAAAAGACTGTGGAAATGCTCACAGGAGCAGAAGTGCTGAGAAAGTCTGACTTAGATGTTGTGTTTCACCTGCACATACTTCAAAGTTAGGGTATTTAACAGCTAAGTGGGGTTTTTTGGGTTTTGTTTTTTGGGGTTTTTAGTTTTTTTAATTTTTTTTAATGGAAAGCTCTGAGGACTGCTTTAAATGAATATATATATATATATAATTTTCCTATGCAAAGCACAGTGTTTGATTATCTGTTCCAGTCCTCTCCATCAGCTGAATGCATGGTTCCAGTGAGGGCCAGTGATCCTGCTTGGCTTTTATGACACTGTATGCTTTACACATTGAGAAGTTAACGGTTAACTAAATAACCTGAATTCTTAGGTTTGGTAATATTAGGACTCATTTTTCCATATATTTTCAATGTTTCCAAATGCTTTTTCCTCCTTTTTCCCCCTCCCAGTAATCCACAGATCAGACCGTGACTGCACCTTAGCTAACATGGAGTAGAGTTATGCACTCTCAGGCAGACCAAGACAGGTAGTATGTTCAGTAGCACATTATTCTTGGCCTCTAGCTTTGCCTTTTCTGCTGGGTGTTTTTTACTTGCTCACAGCAAGGAGAGAAGGGTGCTTCTCTGATCAAGGCATTGCACCTGTGCTGGGTTGATTGGCCTTGGGAAACTGTGTGGTGCTGGCAAGTCATTTGTAATCCAGATTCTCAGCTGCAGTAAATTGATATAACCACATGGATCGCCCTCTACCAGTTGGGACCGGCCTTGCATTTAACACACTCCGTTGTTTCTTGTCAGATGCTTTGGGTTTGAATCTTCGATGTGTCAAATAGATTAGCTGCAGAGGGAACAGTGTTCAGAAGGTCCTGTTAGCGCCTTGCCACATGTTCCTAGCATCCAGGCTGGTTAAGTCAAATTTCCCCATTGAATCGTTTTGCTTTTATGCACCTCTGTTTAGTTCACCTTGCAGAAAGTGATTGAAAGCAGTAAGTAATTCAGATGCACTGTGAGAGGAAATAAAGTATGACTCGCTCTTCTTTTCTAGATGTAGGAATTAAATTACAAGGAAAATCAGCCTACAAGTCCCAGCCACTCCCTACAAAACAGATACTAGCCTAGTCCCAGATTTTCTTTTTGGTGAGAGGCTAAAAGGATGTATCTGAGGAAGGAACTGAATAAGACCCATTTGCAATGGTGATTAATATAGTGCCTGTGCTCGACAGAGCCACAACAGAAAAATTATTAGTGGCTTAAGTCCTAGCTCCACTGAAGCCAGCAGAAACCCTCGCATCCTGAGATATCTGATCCTAAGCTACACTGCCAGCAAATTCTGGTGCTTCTCCAGTGTATCAGAAACTCATAGCAGCCACTGGGGCCCTGTGAAGGGTCTCCAGGGATATTCATTGTCCTTTGGCATCAATCAACTTTTCTGTAGCACTATAAGGAAGCAATTTTCCAGCTGGTTGGTTGCTGTATGAGGGGAGAAATGTCTTTTCCAACTGATTTGGGTACTAGGTTCAGTGTTTTAGAGTTGAAATGTTCCAGTGGGGCCCTCACACTTCAATACTGTGTCTCCAGAAACCTGCAGCAGAAGTTAGGGAGATTAAGGTTGTTCTAAAATATAAGCCATCGCCAGGATCAGTCTGGATCTCTGTAAGGGGAAAGTAAAGACTGTTACTGCTATTAGATGAAAAATGGATCAACTCCTTGACTAGCAGATGTAGACAAAAATCAGAAATGGATGAATCTCTTAGATAATGTCATTCATTTATGGTTGGCAAAACCTCTCTTCAAAAACGTCATCTGGTCTTAAGTGAAAATATCCAGAAAATATCCAACTGGAAAGTTGTACCAATGCTTAATTCCTCTTGTAATCAAAGGTTTATCCTTTGCTTCTGATCTGAATTTCTCTAGCTTTAATCTCCAGTCCATAATTCTTGTTACACTTTTCTCTTATAGACTGAAGAGACACAAAGCTTTTTTTCCCCTCTCTATACAGAATTTACTTTCACTCTTTTCTGTTGATAAACTGCTTCCATTGAACTCTTCAGGTGCTCTCACAGTAAGGCATTTTTTCATGTTACTTTTTTCCCCACTCTGTCTCTCTAATTTTTACTGTCTTTACCAAACTACATGAAAACTGAAAGTGTAATACCAGCCTGCTGAATACTCCTACAGAGGCAAAATCAACTCCCTATTCAATACTCTCCTGTTTGTGCATCTAGATGATTGCATTTTCTGTGGCATCACACTGGAGGTCTGTGTTGATTTGCTTCTATTCTGTGGCTTCTGACTCCTTCCTAGGGTAGCTGCTTTCCCAAATTTATCATCTGGGAAGTGTTGTCTGCGTGCCTTTTTCCTAAAGACTCAACTTTGCACCTGGCACTTTGAAATACATTTTGTTTGAACAGGCCCAGCGTAGGGGCCAATAATTCAAATCACAGCCCTGTCCAAATCCTCTACTCCTCTGCCAGTTGCCACATTACTTGCATGTTTCGTCAGTGGTGCTTTTACTTTCAGAGTATTGATGAAAACATTGAATAGCAGTGAGCCAGATCACAACATTTTAAGGGAAGAGTCCTAACAAGAAATCTGATTTGATCAAATTACAAGCGCTTATCAATAGATGGTCACCATTGAATGTGAGCATTAAATACACTCCTGTCCTCTGCCTTATTACTTGAAATCTCTTCAGTTTTGTCCAGGGATTGCTGTCAGTTTAACTTGCGAGAAAGTGGCACGCCAATTTTTCATGTCTGCAGGTTTGAAATGTTTGTCCCCAGTAGGTGCTGCCTTTTCACTCTTTCAAGTTACCAGGGGACTGCAGAGCTCTTTATCACCCTCAGCCTCTTTATTTCCAGAGAAGGGACAGATGGTTTTATGGAGCACTTGGAGCACGCTACCTCCCTTGCACAGGTTGCCAGGAATTAAAACAAAAAAACCCAACAAAAAAACCCAAACAAAAAAAAACCCCAACCCTAAATTTTAAAATACTAAATAGAAGGTTTTGTAGTCGTCTTGACAGTACACCATCTGTCAGTACTTCTGTGTATAACTAGAAAGCTAACCTCTGCACCTGGAACATAAGCTTAATTTTTTAAAACAAAGCAGAAGGATCATCTGGCAGTTTGGGACCACACCTTGCAGCAAGCTCAGGGCACACAAACCATTTCCCTAACACAGGATCCCACTGCTTCTGTGGAGTCTATAGCGAGGCTGGGACTTTACTGAACTGCAGTACCTGGAATGAAAAGGGTGTTAGAAGAGACCAGGTGATACATAGCTCTCTCCCGTGACAACTGGTCAAGTGTCCCAGGAGAATGGGGGAGATTTGGGGGATCCCAGAGACATATCAGAAGCATCATTTGTTCTCTTGTGCTCCTGCAGCAAGAGTTGCATGCTGTTGTTTTAGCACAGGGAGAGATTGTGGTGCTGCCAGTGTTGCTGTGGTGACTAATGAGTTTTTAATGCCACCTGCTGTAAACAGCTGGATTTAAAGCAATCATAAGCAAGGGCACTTTAGACCACCAACGTTTTCTTTTACAATAATGCTTTTAACTTTGGAGAAGCAAAAAGAGTAAGAAATACAGACTGTTGATGTTGGTGAGTACCACCATGTCTGTCCTTGTTGTGAAGCTGCTGCCTGTTGGTCCCATGGATGCTTTCAGCTCTCACTTCTGGCCAGATCAGCAATGGGACGTAACTTCCTACAGCCTCTCTGTGCCACTCAGCTCCCAGTGGAACATGGTGCTAGGGGTGTCAATCATGCAAGCCCTGGACCTTAGTCTCATTTCACATATCCTGGACGTTCGTTGCCAGATACCTAAAGCAAACAGCTGTGTGAACATTAAGAGGGAAAGCATGTCATCAATATTTAGGTATAGGAGGAAATTATTATTCGTGTATAAGATTCATGCAAGTCATGACCTTAAATTGTGAGGAATACGCAATCCTTGTGTAGGGATGGACTGGGAACTCTAGAAATTAAAAGAAGCGTTACTTTAAAGATTTTATACTAAATAAGGTTGCTTCCTCTCAACAGCATAAAAAGACACTTTCAAGATTAATTTGAGAGAATAGTCTTACTAAATGTTTCTAAATAGCTCTAAATTGTCTGTGCATTGTATTTGCTGCCTTCCTCAGCAATTACTTCAGGAAATCTGTTCTCTAACGAATGCCTCGATGCAAAAGTCATAGAAGCGTTCGTGAAAGCAGCAGTGACATCTTGTGGCCCCTTCAAACAGACCCGAGCTCCGAGTCAGTCCTGCGTTTCATCTCAGCTGCTGGCACCCACAACTGTGCTGGCATCCAGGGCTCTGGTGGAGGGAAGAGTCCTCTCGCTGGGCAGCAGCTGCCTTTGCACAAACATACTGGACTCAACGGGGTTTGTGCAGAGGAAGATCAATTGGTCCGTATCATTTTCCCTATGGTGCTCCTAAAGAATATGCCAAGCACAGAGATTTGTGCACTTCCCCATTTTATCCAGGTTATCCCATTGATATCAGTTGGAGAGGGGGTTATCATCACTGACTTTCACTTTACCAATCGCTGACTTTCACTTTTGGGTCTCCACTCAGTTTTAACTTAAATCCTAACTGGGGAACTACACCTACAAATTAGGCAATCAATGTGAGCGGATGTCCCTCTGCAATTAATAGAGAGGCACCTCCAGGAGGTAATTCTTCTACTCATCTTAAATACCTATTTTAGGAGGAGTTGCTCTGGACGTTGCTATCTTTCCTCTTGGGCTGCACAGGGAGCCAAGGCCTTGCTGGCAGCTCCAGCATAAGACAAGCCATTGAACAGGCTGACGGGGCTGCGGCGGGGCAGTCTGAGCTGTGCAGCGCAGCGGACAGTGCCGGACAGGAGCTGGGTGTGTGGAGGAAGAGGAGGGCAAGCAGCTGCTTCACCTAATACCTTATAATGTAGCTACCATATGCCTGTAGACTAGACACTTGGTGTCTTGATGGCTGTCAGCTGACGGCTGCCTTCTGTGGTGGTGGGACTTTCACCCTGGGAACAAAGGCAGCCATAGCTTTTCATGCAAAAAGATGTTTTGGGATTTTTTTCTCAGTTGGAAGGGACCCACAAGGATCATCGAGTCCAACTCCTGTCCCTGCATAGGACAACCCCAAAATGCACACCATATGTCTGAGGGCATTGTCCAAATGCTTCTTGAATATTGCCAGGCTTGGCGCCGTGACTACCTCCCAGGGGAGCCTGTTCCAGTGCTCCACCACCCTCTGGGTGAAGAACCTTTTCCTAATGTCCAACCTAACCCTCCCCTGGCATATCTTCCTGCTGTTCCCTCGGGTTCTATCGTTGGTTGCCAGGGAGAAGAGATCAGCACCTGCCCCTCCTCTTCCCCTTGTGAGGAAGCGGTAGACCGTGGTGAGGTTTCCCCTCAGTCTCCCCTTCTCCAGGCTGAACAGACCAAGTGACTTCAGCCGCTCCTCGTACAGCTTCCCCTCTAAATCCTTCACCATCTTTGTAGCTTTCCTCTGGACACTCTCTGTTCTTTGGAAAACTGCAGGTTTGGAGCTTTTCCTCCTAGGAAGACTCAAGCTTAGCTGAAGAGAAGGTATTTTTTCCTGTAGAAAAGCTATCCAAATTATTCAGTGTGACAATTCTTCTTTATTTCTCACTGATTGTAATTTCTTTTCAGTGCTATAACACAGTGAAGCAATATCTGAAGCTTTTAACTTGACTTTGAATTCCATTTATAAATATTGACTCAAAAAATGGTTTGTATCAGCCAGTAGCTTTATGATTTTTTTTTGAAACTGAAAGATTGCAAACAGAAATGTATTTTTGTTCCAAATATCTCCCAGGTTAAATGCCAGTTTTTGTTTCTTTCAGCTAGCGCTCAGGTGCAGATGCTTTTACAAATATTTTTCTGCTATCTTTGTGATACTCTCTTCCCAACAGTATCCTTTGGCAGAAGTTTGTTATTAGACTTGGTAATCAATTGTGTTAGACCCTGTCTGTAATACATTTGCCTTCTTCCTTCAGCACCAGTGGCACCCGAGATTACCTCCATAGAATATTACAACCACCTTTTGTATGTCACCTGGACCTATGGAGGAGATGGTACTGACCTCTCTCATTCCAGGATGCTGCATTGGATGGTCATTGCAGAAGGAAAGAAGAAAATCAAGAAGAGTGTAAGTATGAGTGGGGAAGGTGTCTCTCATTTCTCTGTATTTTTTTTGCTGAGTTTATAACTTTGTATTACAAAGTTTAAACCAGTTGATTAAGATTGGTAGAAGCCTGATCAGTTAAAATTATTTCACAGTGTTAGCATGCACTTCCAAAGACTCAAGCCCTCAAAATGCCAGTCGACAAAATGGTTGTATGGTGATCCAGCGTTAGTGTTGATCGTTTAGGTGTGAATCTTAAAGTAGCTTATAAACTTCTGAGCTGCAGACAGTAAAACATAAAGGGTATTTTTTAGTGAACAGATATGATCTTTTCAATTTCTATTTCATAATAACCAGACTACATTACTGTCTGAGTTTTTTTCATTCATTCAGGCCAGGTACTATCACTCTCATTTTCTGACTTTATCAAACAGACATCCTTATAAATTATGTCATTTTCATTTTCTGTTTGAATACAAGTTCCACTAACTGATGGGACGAGGGTTTCACCCAGAATGTATGCACTTCTTAGAAAACTTGCCAGATGTTAAGATGCGTTCTTGGCACATTCTCTTGAACTCTTTGAGCATATTTAAAAATCACTTAGAAAAAGAAATCTGGGTTTTCCAATTATGGATTAAAGTCATGCTGCTGCAGGGTACTGAGGTGCATGTTTTAACCTGAAGCAAAAGAGCAGCACCTGGACATACAGTGAGAAGTGCTTGAAATAGTGGTGGAGTGCTGCAGCACAGGAATTTATAAGGCCAGCAATGTAGCTTCATACAGCCTGTGGCCTGTGACTGTCTTCTACACCACTATTGATCCTTTAATCATTGATAGGGAGAAAGTGTCTGGTCTTTTTCAAGGGAAGAGTTTCCCTTCTACAGCTGAAGACTCAGCAGATGCTGAATTGGAAGTGGATTTTCAGCATAAGTGCAAATTCATCAGCAATTTTCATTTGGATTTTTATGGAGCACCCTAGCTTTCATTGGATTCCTAGTGGCTGCAAGAGTGCACCTATCTGGAGCTTGTTGCAGCATGAATCTAATTACATGATTAGTAGAACTTTTCAAAAACATGACATTTCTGAACAGCAGGAACTTCCAATACTTAGATCTTTGTTTCAAATGAGGAAGAAAACTCCACATTCTAATTTTTCTCCTACAAATGAAATTTTCTAACAATTGAATTCTAAAAAAATTGTGCTGTTATATCCCTCTCCTCTCTTCCTTCCAAAAGTCATATTCTCTGTTAGGTTATTATTCTTCCAGGAAATATATGATTTCTCTGCTATTCAATTTTGTTGACTATGAAAATCTTAGATTAAATAAATATAAAATAAACATTGAATATGAAATTAAATTAAAATTAATATTGAATATGTAATTTTAGATTAAACAAAAGATTAAAACTAGAGGGTATCTACAATAGAGTATGTCTGCAAATAAAACTTCAAAGCTTTGGCAATGTCTTTAGAAATGTTTGTCTTTATATTATTTTCAGGTCAAGGGAACCCATAAAGTATTCTTTAGGAAATTTCTGTAACAACCTATTTGTAGCTAACCTTTATGGTCATGCTCATAGTTGTAAATATGGGTACATGCTTGCAGGCTTCAGGGTGTACCTGTTCTCGTAAGCTCTGTTAGTCACTTTCAGAAATGGTTTCCTTTAAAAATCATACTATATTGTAATCTCATTATCTGATTTATTAAGATCGTTAAGATTGTTATTATGGTTGTTTTTCTTGTGGGATTATTAAAATAAATAGGTAACATTATCAGACAATAATGACTTTTTCTTCCTGCTATTTGTGTACTCCCCAAGACTCTCTAGAAGTTGGTCAGTTTTTAGAGAAGGGATGAAAATAATGTGCATAGTCCTGTTAGTCTTTATTCAGAACTGTCTATCCCTCTTGGAACTGAAAACTTCAGCCTGAAAATTAAGTGAATATGAAAACCAGCATGAGATTCCCAAATGTGCCCTTTGTAGATAGTCTACAAGTGCTCTGAAAACAGTCTGTTGCATTATCCGAGTTCTGCGTCCTCCATGACCCTGGAGAAATGGGGAGCTTACTCACCCCTAAAATAACAGGAAGAAGGTATTCACAATCTTTTGAAGCTCAGCTCAGTTTTGGATCATATCTGGTTTCAAATTTGCAGATGACTGAAGTCAGGCCCTGAGGTCTATTGTCAAGTCAACAGGTCTCCAGGTAGGTGTTAGACTTGCCCAGCTGGATTTAATTTGCAGGTTCTTAGGATATATAAAGGCTTGCCTATATTCGTCTTGTGTACTCCTCTTAGAGATATCTGATCTGATTTAAATTCCTCTAACATTGCAGCGGACTCAAATACATGGTTTGGTTAGCATTTTGCACAACTCAAAAAATCTAGATGCAAGAGTACTCTCATTAGTGTGAGGGAGATTTTCTTTCTTCCTTAAATTTTCACTGCTCATACAGAAAATATGGCCTAAGATTGTCTTCTCTCTGCATTGTCATATTCTGCTGAGGGTCACGGCTTTCCACAGTTGGTGTCAGTGGGAACTGGTTCACGTAACAAGTCTAGAGTATGCAAAAGACATGCTGTGATGCATAAAACTTTCTTTGTAGTATATTAAGTGACCAGATTAATTTTACAAGAAGGTTATCTGTTTTGGGTCATATTTAACAGCTGGTGTCTATAATTATTGTAGGTAACACGCAATGTGATGACTGCAGTGTTGAACTTGCCTCCAGGGGATATTTACAACCTTTCAGTGACTGCTTGTACTGAAAGAGGCAGCAATACTTCCCTGCCCCAGCTTGTGAAATTGGGTAAGAAATGCTTGTTTGTAAATTATAAACTCACTCCTCCTCTCATTTGACTATAAAAGTAACTCTGTCAGCAGATCCAGCATCTTTCTCATTTCAGTGTCATATACCTGTGACCACATTTCTTCTGCAAAGCTGAAATTTTCACCTCACCTTGCTGTGAAGGTTGTCTCATTTCTGTATGTGAAGCTACTCTCCTAAAATAGTATTACTCAAGAGGAGCAAGAGTGGCAGAATCTGACTGTAAGTGGAAGTAGGAGAGTGGAAATCGCTTAATGCGTTGCTGGGAGAACAGCTCTGCTCCATATTTACTTCCCTAAGGTCTCGAACACAGGCAGGTTTGGGGAGCGGCGACTCAGGCTTCACATCTGAACTTTTCAATACAAAGCAGAACCATCCTTCTTTTTGACAAGCCTATTTTTGGGTCTGCACTCTGCCACCTGGTCTGGCTTCCTGTCTCCTCTCTCCCTGGATGTCTCCATAGTCTTCCAACACCAAAAATGTACCCTTAAATACAAATCAATGATGGTACTCTTTACAAAAACAATCAGATTCATGGTTGTGGAACCCAGCATCTTTCTAAGGGAAATATGTGTAATCTACTCAAAGGAACAAAAAAAGAATTAAGAACTTCATCCTTTACATAGGACTTTAAAGTATAACTTTCTGCCCAACATCTTCCTTTACCTGTGAGGAAGACTGGACACTACACCATTGTACCTTAAGAGATTTTACTTCACTTTTGCATGCATGTAGAATTATCGAGCCCTAGGTACCTGAAGCTGTGAAATTTTGAAGTGTGCCTAACTGCTTTTACAGACATTAACTCCACTGTGAAGATGGGTAAAGAGGAGTTAGTAATTTCAAACTGGATTATCTTCTCTACATGTATAATAAACCTTTAGTGAGTGACAGTGAAAGAAGTGAATTTAAAGGGGTCCATAATTTCTAATTGAATTAGAGGTCTTGAAGCAATCGTTGTCTATTTGTCTTGATAGCTCTTACTCAACTCTTAAAACAGCGCTGGGGCAAGTGGTACAGCCACAAGAGTCTGAATTTCTTCCAGGTCTTTTCATCAAATGGAATATTTGAAAGATGTAGGCAAATTCCATGGATTTTTCCTTCCCTATGCAAGTCCTGTCCACTGTTTTCCCCATGCCTTGTATCTGTGCACAGTTAGGTGTGTGTGTTCATTCCCAGGACTGAGTGGATGGATGTGTGAGGGTGAGTATATTCCCCTGCTACCATTGTCCAAATATTTTAGGGGTGTATTTCAAAATATCAGCTAGCTTTATCTTTCAGACAGGTCCATTAGTGCCATGTATTATTCATTATGTACACCCTGCAGCCTAGTTGTATCTTCCTGTTCTCTGCTTATGGACAGGCAGGCTCTTAATGAACTGGTGTAGTTATTTTGCTCTTGCTCTTTCATTGACAAGAAAGAGAAAGTGAATGAATTATGAAGTCTTTCTAGACTTCTGGTTGTTGGTTTTTGTTGGTTCATTGTTTGTTTTTTTTTTCTTTATGCAGTTTGCACTTTGAATAGACAATAGTAAGGGTATTTTACCAGAAGTTTTCCTTCTCTCTGTTTCTGAGGGAGCAATGGGAGTTGTAATTAGCAGTAGTGGGAACTGACTTTAAGTGATAGACGACTCAGCACTTGGCAGTCACT